ATGTCCCTCTGGTGCCATGATGAAAATAGCAGTGGCTATGCATAGAGAAGGAAAGTGAATTCTTCTTATGTTACTAACTTTTCCAGTATGAAATGTATGTAATGGATGTTACAATTATCAGAGTACATTATATGTAAAATTGAACATTTTGGTGTCTATAATATAAATAATTATAGTTAAAATCAGTCTAAAATTTTTTACCTCACGTAGGTCTTTGAATTCCTGTCTCTAAAATTTTTGTTATCCTATGCTTATGCCATAATGAATTCTTTTTCTTGTTTGGGGCTGTGTGGTATCATATTTTGTTGGAGTACCATCTCAAAATAAACGTAATTTTAACATACAAAGATTTTTTTCTAATCAGGAAGTGGAGATTAGCAGAACTCTTGCTTTGTCCTCACTCTCTCTTACAGAAAAGCTACTCTGTGGTCTTGATATTTCAAAGTAAAGCCCTTTCTGAACCTGGGAGATAAGAAACTTTTAGGGCTTTTTTCTAACTGTTCCAGAATGAGAGCCATCACAGGAACTAAATAACAACAGAAACTGAATAATGCTTATGATATCTTTGTTGTAGTTTTTAAATTTTCTTTTAATTTGTATTTCTCCACAGCTATCACATGGGGCTCAATTATAGTAAGTAAAGTATATGAACTGTTGAATAGAACTACAAGTTTCAAGTCACTGCATAGCCATTCTTTTGGACTTCATATACATTTTAAAGTTGAAGTAAAATGTTAGTTATATTTTATATTAGTTACAGTCCTACCCCTTCAAAACACACCACACCCACACCCCAAACACACACATGTAGGTTTGCAGGTCTGCCCAGAAATCTAAAATCCTTCAATTGTTTTCTTTCCAATAAAGAAAAATTGGTGGTATGTAGTCTACAGTAGGTCTGATGTTTTAGTTGTTAGACAATATTGAATCTATCTAGTGAAAAAGGAACACAAAAGGAATTTCCAAATGCAGTTGCTATTTTTCATTTGTTAGATCCTTTTATTACACCATATAAGTACACAGCTGGGAAATACTCCAGAGTGGGAGTTAAAAACAAAATATTTTGGCTTCCAGACATTCAGAATACGCAGACTCCAGTGGAAAGTAAAGCAGGGTATCAAAAGAAAGTGAAAGTTTGGAAACATTTCTAGCAGTATAATTTCATTTCATACTAATATATAACATATTTATAACTTTATCATAAATGACATTTAATGTAAATTAATTAATATGATTTAATATAAATTATTACTATATATATATATTTTCTGACAATTTGAACATAAAAGCTTGGGAATAACTCACCAAAGCAATCTGGCACTTTCCAAGAAACAAAAAAAAGGTTTACTAGGAAAAATTAGTAAAATTTTCTCCAAAAAAATAAAATTTAAACTGAAAATTTCTGCCTCTTCATATTTCTTTTTTTTCTTTTTTTTGGTATTGGGGATCGAACTCAGGTCGTTGTGCTTGTGAGGCAGGTGACGGAACCACTGAGCTAAATCCCCAGCCCCTCTATTCATATTTCCTAGTCCAGTAATTTTCATCTGTCCATGACCATATTTGGCACAAAAGCCAAATATATTTTTAACCTATCCCTTCTTTTCATGTCTTCTTCCTCTTTGTTTATCCAAGTCGCTATCATCTTTCATCTAGATTCTGAGACACAAATTCCAAGGGGTCTTCCTCCTTTCACTGTTGCCTCCTTCCCATTCATTCACTATATCAGTCAGAATTATCTGTTTCAATGTTCATTTAAGTCTGTCAAAACCTTTTTTATTGTACTTAGATCAAATCTCACCTCTATAAAGTTATCTCCAAGGTCCTGTTTGATAGTCCCTACCTATTTCAACAACCACATCTGATGCTACATTGCCTCCTGACTTATTAAGCTCCAGTCACAATGAGTATTTTTATTTCCTTAAATTAAATTATATTTTTCTCACCTCAAATAGTTCATATATGCTCTTCCCTCTTCAGTTTTACTCTTTGTTCCATTTCTAGTCAGAAACCTGGCTAGTTTCTATATCCTTAGCTCAAAGGGAGTATTCCTAACCATCTATTCTAAGTTAGATTTATCCCATTCTGTTCTCAGATAACATTGTTCTTTTTCTTCATAGCACATATCATAATTTAATTATATATTTATTTGCATGTATATTTATTTAATTTCTATCCCTTGTCCTGGACATAACACCCATGAAGATACTTATCATGTCTGTTTTGTTCACCACAATACAGCCAGCACCTAGTAGAATGCTTTCCACAAAGATGGCTCAATAAAATTTTTATTTTAGTAAAATAGATAAAGTAAAATAGGAAGAAAAAGTCCAAAGGGGAAGGGGAAGGGGAAGTGAGGAGGAAAGAAAGAAGGGAAAGAAAAAAATATGAGAAAACAAGGAAAAAAATGTAAACAAAGTCTGTAAATAGGGAGGACTGGGAAGGGTTGAAGGGAGGGCAGGGGAATGGGGAACAAAATAAGAACCAAGATTTATCACGTAGAGGTACAAATTCCCAATGATGAATGTCATCATATTGTACACCTAAAATGTACCAATAAACTTAATGAAAAAAATTACAGGTAGCCCGATTATCTTGTCAATAGGCAATGCCAGTGACTAGATATCTACATCACCCAGAGTGCCCTGGAGATAAAAACAACCAACTTAAATTCAATCAGAAAAAGACTTTAGTCTTGTCTAGTTATATCTCACCCTTCTCCCTACTCCAGAAAAATAAATCTCCCAGAGGATCTATTTGGACAATTTAGATCCCCTTCAAATCTAAAATTAGTCAAGAAATGTTTCACTTATTTTCCAATGCCACACTCATCACCTACTGCTGCAGAGCACATGTGCCTGCCAAATCATCTGGAAAAGAGAGGCGTCTGCCTCCGTGAGTCATTGAGTTAAGAGTCTGAGACAGGAAACATAGAGCAAGAATTTAAATATGTGTTCTTAGCAGTAAAAGCAATACAAATATTACCTTATTTTTATTAAGGAATAAAAATTCACTCATTGATCACTTAAAATATTTTTATTAACTTTTGGTTAACCAAATGAAAAAAAAGTGTTAAAAAACAATACTAAAATATTGGCTTCTTCTAGACATAAGAAACTGAAAATTTTGCTTTAAACTAGATAATGTCAGTTACTATAGTTTCTGTTTTGATGGTTAGAGATGAAATTTTTAATTAATTTCATTGGTACATTTAAGGTATACAGTATATTGACCTTCATCATTGGAAATTTGCACCTTTATATAATATCCCTCGGTTCTTATTTTTTCCCCCATTCCCTGCCCTCCCTTCACCCCCTCCTCCCTTCCCTAGTAACAAATACTTTTGTTTCCAGTTTTTCATTTTCTCATATTAATTCCATTCCCTTCTTTCCTTTCCCTACCCCTCTCACTTCCCCTTCCCCTTTGCCCCTTTTCTTCCTATTTCACATTACCTATTATACCTTTTAGTCCTTATTTACACTTTCAGTTTCTCACACTACAGAAACTATTCGGTATTTACACACGTGTGTCCTATTTATTTCACTTAAGAGTATTGCCTCAATGTGCATCCATTTAGCTATACATGTTTCCAGTTTCTCATTCTTTATGGCTGAGTAGTACTCCATTTTATAAAGAAAAACACATTTTCTTTATCCAGTCTCCAGTTGATGGGCATTTGGGCTGCTTCCAAGTTTTAGCTATTACAAACTGTGCTGCTATGAACATGGGTGCACATATATCACTGTGGTATGATTCTTTTAATTCTTTGAGAAAGATCCCCAGCAGAGGAATAGCTGGGTCAAATGGAACTTCCAGTCCTGGTTCTTTGCGGTATCTCCATACTGGTTTCCACAGTGGTTGCACCAGTCTACACTCCCACCAGCAGTGGAGCAGGGTTCCTCTTTCCCCACAGCCCTGCCAGCATTTGTTATTGGTTGACTTCATGATAGCAGCCATTCTTTCTGAGTTGGAATCTCAGTGTTGTTTTTTTTTGCATCTCTTGAATGACCAGTGATGTTGAACATTTTTTCATATATTTATTTGCTATTTCTACTTCTTTGTCTGAGAAATGTCTGTTCATTTCAGATGCCCATTTTTGGATTGGGTCTTTAAATTTGGGAGGTCTGTTTTTTTTAAGTTCTTGAAATTTAACACAGAAAGGCTGGCTAATACCTTGTATGTATTTAATGTGTTACTTCTACTCTTAGAGAAAATTGCAATTTGATTGAATGATACTCAAGAGTTTTGCACATACTTTCAAAATTAATATATAAGCATACAAGTAAGAAAAATTTATTCTAAATCAAAAATGACTGCTAAAAATTTTTAAATACATTTCTTTATTGAAGACATAATCATTGTATGACCTCATTCATCCAGACATATTTGCTTAATTTTCAATATTAATGTACAACCACACTTTACTTGGTCATATCTATTTTGTGATATTACCACATCCATCATCTTAAATTCAGAGATTCAGAGAATAAGATAACCAAACACCTTCTCATTTAAAAAATCAAATATCTTTCTTTTGACAAGTTAACCTAATAATGGGCACAAACTACATCACAAACCATTTTCCAAGTTTTCTAGTATCATATATATATATATAGAGAGAGAGAGAGAGAGAGAGAGAGAGAGAGAGAGAGAGACAGGCACACACAATGGTACCTCAGTTCACAAACTCTTTTGTTTGCAAACAATTTGGTTTGCAAGGAAAAGCATTTGGCAAAATTTTGTTTTTGTTTGCAAACTACATTGGGAGACAAACACAACTGTGGTCATCTTTCCTGCACAAATAAAAATGTGGCCATCTTTTCCAAAATTATGGAACAAATTAAGTTGAACCGAGGTACCACTGTATGTACATACTACCTGGTGGCTGTCTCATGATCTGAGCACAAATAGCTCTAAAGTCATATTTTTTAGGTTTCCCTAAAGCATAAAAATATGTACTAAGAGACACATTTAGTAGCAGTAACCAGTTTCTAAAAGCTCACCATTCTTTGCTGGGATGACAGAACACTGTCCCAGTCAGCATCTTGTTGAACGGTACTGATAAGTGTTGGTAGCTCCTCAGAGTGAGGTTTGTTGTGCATTATGGGGTGCAGGGGCAGATGGGAGGCCACATGTTGATCATTGCCCTCTTCCTTTTCCCTTGAGGTCAAATCCTGGGTCATGGCTTCCTCTCCATCAGCTGCACAGGCAAATGGAGAGGTGGCTTGCTTGGAAGACATTCTTCTGCAGAAAAAGGAAAATACCATGGACTGAAAATGGCTGTAAACAACAAAGAAATAAGCCATCCCCTGAATTTGACTAATTCAGGGGGAAAAGAAAGTAATTTAACTTTAGATATAGCTATTGTCTACTCAAAACCGCTCACAAATAACTCTTGGTTTATCTATCCCACTTTCCTTCTTTGCTTCTAATTCAGCAAACTTCTTTCAGGTAGTAGTTGTATATTTTCTCTCTTATCCGATCCACAAATGATATTCTTTTCTTTTTTTTTTTTTTTTGTTACCGGGGATCGAACTTGGATCCTTGAGCTTGCGCAGCAGGCGGCGAAACCACTGAGCTAAATCCCCGGCTCCATGAATGATATTCTTATAAAATAAGTTTTATAATGTACAGAATACATCATGTATATTTTTCCTCCTAGTTTTCCCAACTAGATTGTAGCCTTCTGGAGAGTAATTAGATGACAACTAGCAATGAAAAGAATGAATGACTGAACTGGCAAGTGAACCAGTTTGCAGGATGATTTAAGAGCAAAAATATCCAAGTATTTCTTTTGTTTACATAGAACAAAAGAAGATTATATAGGAAAATATAATCAGAGAAAATAATCCATAATGATAATCTTAAGCAAATCTAGTTTAGCTTACAACTTGCATTATGGCCTACTTAATGCCCATCTGAAGCTTTCTGACACCTTCAAGAAGTGTTGACTATCGTAACTTAACTTTTATGTGACTATTGATTGAGACCCTCATAATGTTATATTAGTCTTAAGACAATTTTGTAGCATTTGAATTGAGTATCTAAAATAGCTATAAATCTATTTTATTACAAAGTGCATACCTGATTCAAAGCATTTACTATGAAAAATGTTAAAATGCCTACTATGCATAATATTTTAAGCCTCCCAAAACAACACTGAGAATTCATTAATCCACAAATAACTATACTCTGAATGACAAGGTCTCCATTCTGTGCTTTCACATGCAATCAGAATTTCAAAACTTGTAGAATATCCCTATATCAAGATGAATTTCTTAGCAAAATGGGTAGTAATAAAATCACTAAAACTTTATAACTTAACGGAAGAAATGATTTTTCTAAAACTTTGTTGTTTTCAGTTTATTGTATCTCTAGCTCTAAAACTGCTGTGTAATGAAAGGAATAAAATCTCTACCTTAATTGGTCTTTAACATTAATTGATTTCATACCATTTTTTTAAATGCACAAATCAGTTAACATAGGAAACCACATGAGCATTTTTCAAATTAGCAAATCATTAACTTGCTAGTACTGTTTCTACAGACAAATAAATACTGATTAAAGGGTCTAGAAATCTGAGATTAACAGTTAAATTTACAAATCTGTCACATGCTTTCATGAATATTGCAGTGAAGGAAATATCAAGTGCAAAGAAAAATAATTAAGTTAATTCCAATTTAAACAGTAGTTTTTATGTAGCAGCCCATGTTTCACATAGGATTTAACAGCTAATGCTAAATTTCTCACAATTAATGAGGGGGCTCAAATTTAGTATCCTACAGTGAAAAAAATTAATATAAGATCAGCTAATCTAATTATGCACAGTTCTAAATAAAAGTATTACAGGCTTTTTGAAGTGCTTTGAAACATATTAAAGTGCTGATACCTACTTATAATAATCATTCTACAAATAATAAAAATGTATTCTTTTAGACTTGATACTCAGAAATAAAATGCGGGAAAGAGTGCAGAAGAATGCTTATATTTTCTTTGAAGAGAAAGAAATTAAATATTCTAAAGACTGCTATATATCAAAGAATCAGATAAATATACTCTTGAACAATTTATATCAGTACTAACAAATGGACAAATATGCATACACTTCTGGAAAATGATAGACAAATGATGTTTCTTAGCACACAAAAATTACTATTGAGCACAATTTACTGGACCCGTAAATATTATAATAAAATCATGCAAATTACTTTATAACTGTTTTGCAAGTTTTTCAAGAGCTTGCCACAAACAACAAGAGTGTATGCAGGGTTAAGATAATGATAGAAATCAAAATGTAAACATTCACATTAAAAACAAAAAAATGTATTTACCACTGTTTTTTAAAACAATTAAATACAATTGAAAGTCATAATCCAAAACTCAAAGTGACATTAGCTCCCCCAGCAAACCTCCATTATAAAGTGAATTGTGTCCTTCCAATAGCAGTACCTGTGATTTTTGCTTTAGTATAAGTCAGTCATGACACAAACTCCAAAATGAAAAAGTCTCTTAAGAATAATTTCAACTATAAATTGCATCAGTGAACAATAGTGCGCAATCCTAATTAAATATAACTGTACAGCTGTGAAAACAGACTAAATCTGTCCAAAGCTATGAGTTGAGTTTAAAGGCTGGTTTGTTAGAGTGTTTTCTTAAGGAAGACTGGGTCCTCAGTCTTAATCACCCAATAAATTATTTCCTGCAATTACATTAAATAGAAAATTATCTTCAAATGGGGAGTGTTAATTGAAAATCAAAATTCAGAGGGAAGTTTAGAAATTACATGCTGAATACAATTAGTGAGAAAAGGCTTCACCTCTACTTCATCAACAGTCTTCTGGTGATTCCTCCAGTGACCATTCAGGAAAGCTATTTATAGCAACACACAATTTGTCTTTTATTTTGCACCTACAAATACAAATGTGTATCAAGGTTGCAAATAAAAGATAGGGTGCCAAAAAAAAGCAATATTAAATCTGACTGTTCATTCTCAGTTCACACCATTGTTAGGGGGAAGAAAATAGGGTGAGGAAGGATGACAATGGTTAACAACCAAGGAAGGCCTATTGAACTTCAAAATCCTTCCCTTTAGCAAAGAAATTAATGATTTATTCCAATAATACTTTTCCATATCATATTTTATTTAATTTTATATGTTTATTATAGGTCTTAAGCATGTCATTAGTAGAGAAAAAGATGATTTTTGTTCTTTTAGCAAGATACTTCCTTGAGTAATTCCTTTTGATAAAATTATTTGACTTTTTTCAGTTTTTTATTGTTGACTTTGTTGTTGTTTTATTTCAGCCAAAAAGATGATTTTGGTTTTGACTTTTTTAAGCAAAATATGTTCAAATTATTTACAATGCAAAGTTTATTAAATAAATCTTAGATTTAGTGATTATTAGATTTGATTTACTTACTTTTACATAATTACTTATTATATAGTCCTCTAACTTACTGATTACATCCTCATTCATTTCTGTTCTTTACTTCAGCTTTCCCTTTTAAAACATTTTACTAGACCAACTAAACTGTATTGTAGAAACTGCAAAGACACTTGACTTTTGTTGATATCCTTAGATAAACACTGCACCATAGCTATTCTCCTTTAGAAATTCAAAAATAAAATATACCTTGTTAATTAATGTTTTTAAATATCATGTGAAATGCTTACACTTATTTTTAATCCTCATATCAGTAATTTTCCTTTACAAAAAGTTTCACCCTCCTCCAATGTACATATTAGAATAGTACTTACCCTAGCTGCTTCCATACACAACTAATAAGCAAAAGAAAACAAAAATCCTTGTGAAAATGGTCAATTTTTATGTGACTTTACTTTGTTTTATTTGTGCACTATTATAACTTAAAAATCAGTCAAATGAATTGTTTTTTTAAATTTGTATTAAAAAAAAATCTTCCTAGTTATACCCCCTGAAAACAGGGGTTTATAATGGAAGTGCTGACACAACCCTAACTAAAGCAGCGCAAATGTTGCCGCTATAATACACAAAATCAAGTTCTATTATTCTAAACTATCCTCGCTCATGGGATTTTTCTTTACTGTGCTCCCAGCCAAACTGCTGAAGCATGAAAAATTTAAATGCAATCAAATGCGCCCAATTCTACTTTACTAGAACAAGTGTCTACAGTGGTACAATCTTAAAAGGAGATGCAACAGATTTGTTTGGTGTTTTTTTTTTAACTGTTTATTTATAATACAGTGCATTGGAGATAAAATAAAAGAGGAAATTACACTCACATGGTACCAGTGTATTGACTACACAGAGTACATTATAATCAGAGAGAAAAACTACATTGTCAACTTATCACATTGGTTAAACAAGATGGTTTTCTGGGGCATAACTATTATCAAGTAAAACCTCCAAAGAGAATTAAATATCTCTGGGACACATAAAACTAAATTCCCATCACATGTTCCCTGAGTTTGAAATATCATTGTCCAAGAGATCAAGAGAATCCCCAATTGGGAAGAACTTTAGGGTTAGGACTTTTGGGAATGAGACTGCTGGAGATAAAGTCTTCAATAATTGATAACGTTCTCTGAAGTTAGGAATGCCTCTAAAAAAGGTGATAATTATCCTACTCCAAACCCTCAATATAAAATTTAAATGTTTAGGCCACTAAAAACTAACTCATATAGTAAATTTACTTTCTGTTCTTAAACAAGAAATAAAACTTAGTTGGCCTAAGACTATAAAATGATAAAGATGCCAGGAATCTATACATCAAGTCCTCTACTTCTGAAAATTATATTGTCTAAAACTTTTCTGATTTAATGTCATTATTTTTAAAAGAGAGTCATTTCCATAGGCTTAAACATTACTATTAATTTTAAACAACTTTAAACTCTTAAACTTTCTCATAAGGCATTGTGACTCAAAATTGCATCTTTTTATTACTGATTGGAAAGAACCCATCTCTCAAAACTATAATTTGGAACTGTCCAAAAAAGCCACTAAGTTCACTGAAACAATATTTTAAACATTATTTTTTTAAAAATATTTTCATTACCTGTATGAGTCCTATCAAATGATATCCACTTTTTAAGTGTATTACATTTTTTGAAAGAAATCCAGATTATGATGTGAAGCAGCAATTTAACATTTGGTTTACTTATAGAAAAAGTAAAATGTTCAGAGCAACATTCACATTTATTTTTGCAGCTCAGCCCCAGGCTACCATGTTAGACTTACTTCAGTCAGATAATTCACTGTTAATTT